ATATATATATATATATATATATATATATATATATATATATATATATATATATATATATATATATATATATATATATATATATATATATATATATATATATATATATATATATATATATATATATATATATATATATATATATATATATATATATATATATATATATATATATATATATATATATATATATATATATATATATATATATATATATATATATATATATATATATATATATATAGTCAAACATCTGTCATTTTGCTCATATCTGTCACTTTTGGATTGAGTTTTGATGAACACACACACAAATATATTTTTTAAAAGCTTCAATATATATTTATCTTTTATTTACAGGAGTGTGGTCAAACAGAAAAAAAATCTTGTCTTTTTTGACAAGTTTTGATCATTTCTCAGTCACTTTAAGTTAATGTTTTAATAAATATAAGGATGAAATTAAATAGATGGATATAAACTCAGTTTAATTATCGGTACACTTATTAACTTAATTAAACGTCTTAACTCAACATGCTGTAATAGTATGGTAAAAACATGGGAACATTCAGTCTTGGCAGATACAGATGTGCGTGTTTGTAAGCCGTGCAGAGACGGATGGAGCCGCCGGTTCCCGGTGTTTTACCTGTATAGGTCGTATCCCGCGGCCCGGTTGGACCCTCGGCTCGGTGTCGTGGCGTGTTCCGTGAGCTTGGCGAACTTTAACACCGCTAGCTCCTCCGCTCCGTTCACCGCATCGCTCTTGGCTCTTTTGTGCGGGGAAACCGCTTCTGTAACTTCAGAGCACGGCATGTTCACTGACGGGCAGCTCAAGACAACCGCGCGAAAACCGAGGATGGAATGAATAAAGCTCGAGCGCGCCAAACACACTCCCGCGCGCCGCGCTTCAAAGAGAGCTGCGGCGGGAAACGCTGCGAGTGGCTGCTAGTGCGTGACGTCATGCGTCATCATACAGCTTGTATTGTTATTATTATTATTTTTTTTAAAGCTTTTGGAATAGCTTGTATCTTTATATAGGTAATTACACGGCTTGTTCCAGCGCCTTACAACTACAAGATATGATTTTTTTACTATAAAAGTAAAACTATTCACTATTATTTTGTATAGAAAATATTTTACATTTCTCGAATTCGCAGCCTTCTTTTTCACATTGTTTAATTAAAATAGATGTTTTTCATAAATTCTGTTAAAAACAAGAAAAGTGATAGATTCTTGGATCATTATGATAATTATTTTGGAAATATCACGGATACACAAGTCCATTCCTCTTGCTGTGTTTGTGTTATTT